TACCCAACACCTACCCCAGGCCGAGACACTGTTGTTTCAATCAGGGAAAACAGAATCGACTCAACTCAGAGTGTCTTTAATGAAGCCATTGCTTACTCGCAGAGATATGAGCAGGGTTAAGGGAGCCATCCCCCAGAGTAGTGACAATGAGAAGTTGGTACCACTCCTAGGGCTGGAGATGAAATAGGAAGAAATCGAGTTATCCAAGGCCAAGGAGATCTGGAAGTTTGGAGGAATGGGGCCACTGCCAGAAGCATGGCATGGAAGCAGGATGAGCAGGACTATATGCCCTGGACTCTCTCTTGTCTGCCCACCTATCTGCTAGTGCTTCTCATTGACTGAAGCCGGAGGGTGAAGGAGCCCAGGTGATGCCCATCCAGAGGTCAGCCTCCTGGGGTCCAGAGCAGGGCAGTAGAGGTGGAGAATGAATGGGGAACAACCAGCACAGCCTTTACCTGCCTCCAGCCAATTGCTGATACCAGAGCATAACCTGTAGAATGCTATGTTTCTCACCCAATTAAATGGCAAACATTTTCAGATAATATCAGGTTATGGCAAAAATGTGACCTTTTATACACTACTAGTGAGCATATAAATTGTAACAGCACATTTGAAGGGCACTTGGACAGTGTGGTGTAGTGCCTAAGGCACTTGACTGCTAACCAGAAGGTTGGCGCTTCAAACCCACCAGCCACTCCTTGGAAGGAAGATTGGGGCAATCTAATTCTGTAGAGATACCACCTGTATCTGCAGGAAACCCAAGGAGGGGTCGCTATGAGTCGGAGATGACTTGATGGCACATAACAACAACAACTGAAGTGCACAGGCCTGTGACTTGACCACTTCAGGTCTCCATTTCTACCTAGAGCCAGGATTATGACAACAAGTTACAGTAAATAACTCAATTGTCCACCAGTGGCCAAACGGCTAAATAAAGAAAACACTGGGTTATCAGTATTGGGAAGGATCTTAGAGAAAACCTACTGAGGTCCCGTCTCTTAATGAATAAGACCAGAAAGGGGAGGTGACCCGTTCAAGATCAGAGTTGGACCGGGCTGGTACCTACATCCTTCAAATACATTGTTAACCTCAAGCTTTGGTTCTTGAGAGTGGCCTGTGCCCCATTTTTTGCCCAACTCCTTCTCTGCTCCACCTTCCATACCCAAACCCCATGAAGATCCTAAGTCTCCCAACTGTGAGGCCTCAGTTTTCCCACCACCCACCTCAATACTTCTCTTGGCTAACAAGACTGCATGGAGAGGAGCCTGAAGAAAAGCCATAGGAAGCCCACATCCAGGACAAGCCCAGACCCGGGTGATGCTGCCCCACTGGCTTCCAGCACTGCTCTTACCCTCTCTGCCTTGAGGAGGCACCAAATAGGTTCGGCTTCTGATCTCCCACCTGAGAGTGCCTTGCTTACTATGGTAAAGAGGACACTCAGGAACCTCCTCCTGCTCACACTGTTCCCAGGAGTGCTTAGGGCACTTTCTGTACCCTGTGTATTTAGTGGTTACTCATATAGGACTAAGGAGCTCTGATGGTGTAGTAGTTAAGGCATTTGACTGCTGACCAAAGGGTCTGTGGTTTGAACACACCAGGCACTCCACGGTTCTGTAAAGATTATCCGCCTTGGAAACCCAAAGGGAGTCACTAACGATGGCAGTGAGTACTGAAGGACTGGCTTCAGCCAACGCATTGCACTTCCTTCTTCTCTCATCCCACCCAAGCCTCTGCCCCTCTGTTGGGGAATTGTGCTCCCTGTGGCTCCGGCAGGACAATCTGATAAACCTGTTTGGGTCAGTAGGTGTGCATGGTATAAAAAATCAGGGTTGGAGCCCAGCTCTGTTTTAACTAGCTGTCTGACCTTGGGCAAGTCACATACTTTTATAGGTGAGCCACATCTATAAAATGTCACAGAATCACTACAAGGAGCCAATGAACTAATTTATATGAAGACACTTTGTAAACCATAAAGTGCCACAGAGAAATGAACTATGTACCATCTCCCAGGTGTTTCCACGTGTTCACAAGGGCTTCCTGGGGGCAGTAAAGGCTCATCAGTGTTTCTCCAATAGCTGACCACCTATACCTGTTTCAACAAGCACTCAAGTGACTCTGATGTTCACTAAGATGTGAGAAGTTCTGCTGAGAAGTGACCATAATAGTAGAATCTGGTGCACTGTGACGGAGTGAGGTTGTGGAGGTTGGGAAAGGTTGTTTGAAATGGTGAATTTTTACTCAGCCCCTGAGACATGGCCACTGGGGTGGCATCAACTTCCTCTGAGTGTAGGGTCAATCCAAATACTCAGGGAAATCTTAATTTTCATTACCATCCCCCAAGAGCAAGAAAGGGCCCAAAGTGCCTGTAGTGGCTCTAGTGATGGTGTCCAGAGCCCCCTCACTGCAGGAGGCAGGCAGGCTTAGAGGTGTGAGTTATCCCAGGAAACACTCCCAGTCTATTACTTTTACAGGACATTAGTTTTGGTTGTTTGGAAGTTAGTAAGGAAGGTGCATTGGTTTGGGGATCTCACTCCTAGCAACAGAGACACAAGCATAGAATGCCTTCTCTATGTGATCCTCTTCCAACTGGAGTGGCAGTTGAAGCTCTTGGGGCTTGGGACGTAGGCCCAGGATTGGTTAAGGGAAGGTTAGAAGGTTGGGGGAATGACCACCTCCCTCTCTTGGACCCTGGCAGAGCTGAGGCTGATGCTTGGAAACAGGTTCAGCAAGGCTTGCCTATGGCTCACCTGGCCCACAGAGGCAGAGGCCAGGCCAAGAGGCCAAGGACCAGAGATGTGTGTTTAAGGGCACAGCAGATGGGAGACTGTCCTGATTGAAGAACTGCATCCTGAGCACATTCCTGAACTTGAATTGTAGCCTGTTGCTTCCCTAAGAAATGCCATCATCTGTGAGTTGTGTGTGGCCACTGCAGCTAATGATCGAACCCCACAAAGGGGTGCTGTGGGAGAGACAGTTGATGTCAGGGTTGGTAAGAGGGCTGGAGGGTGGAGGCACATCTGGCCTCACAGGAACAGGCCTTGGGCTGCTGATGGTGATACTGTCTTCCTCTTGTGTACTTAGAGGAGGTCAGAAGATGCCGCCTCCCTGCCCTTTTAGCAGTCATGAAACAAAATGTGTATGGACTGCTGTATGGAAAATGAATTTACTCCGCAAACGTTCACCCAAATCACAATACAAATAAAAAAAAAAAAAAAAAATCAGAAAAGAAAAAAAGAAAAGTACTACTACTTGTAGACTTTGTGTGTAGTGTCAAAGAATATTTATAATAATAATAAAAAAATCTTTCCCACCCAAAAAAGTGTCTCCCCACTTGACTGTGGCCAACAAGCCTGACTCCCACTACAACCCTCTGAGCTATACAAGGTTCAAGGGCAGCAATAGTTATTCTGGGGGTGCTGTGGAGCTGTGCAGCAGAGTAAGAGGCCTGTCCTGTAAGCCCCTTCCCTCCCCAAGGCCACAAGGAAGGTTCTAACTCTCCCTGTCTCCACCTTCCTAAGGAGTTAGGTCTCCTGTAGGTCCCACAGGACCTTCCTAATCACTGAAGCGCTCCTGCCTCCACATGTTCATACCTTGCCAAATTCTTATCATCCTCCAATTTCAACCCAGGTCCCATCTCTTCCAGGAAACCCTCCCCAACACAGGCAGCTTGCAGTTCTCAGAATTCCTCCAGCACCAACCCAGTACTTCATCATTACAGTCTCTTGATCCCAGGAGATGTTGAAGAAGCCTCAAGATGTCCAATTTTGTTGCTTCAGGTTTTCAGATGAGGAAATGTGAACAGCTATAACAGAGAGCACTGACTATGTGCTAGGCAACTGACATGTATGAAGCAACTGAACTCTCACAAATGTTTGTAATAAGGCACAGAGGTACAGTAACTTGACCCAAGACTGTCCAGCAAGTGGCAGGACCAGGATTTGAACCCTGGAAGCCTGGTTAGAGAGTCTATCTCTTGTCTTCATGCTGTTTCTTACTTACTGGCTGGCTGTTATTTATGTGTCTCATCTTCTTTAGTGTAACTTTTATCACATCCTTCCCTAGTAACACCTCCCACCCTCTCATCCCTGCCAATGGCTGAGCACACAGTAGGGGCTTTAGAAGTTACCGCATGGCAAGTTGTTGACAGAACACAGGGGAACATTTCTCCTGACACCAGGTGGCAGCATTGGCCCAAAAGTCTTCCTCTGGCCTAGGGCTGTCAGTCAAAAACTTAAAAACTTTTATTTCTGGTACAAATGATAAATACTTTGCATTAAAAATCTGGAATTCAAGTTTTCCTCATACTTCATGCTCCCTCCCCATCCCAGAACCCTACAAAAATATTTATGTTTAGAGGGGGAAGGAGCTAGTATTGATTCTGGTGGCAAAGTCCAGGTCTGGGGAAAGGCACATGTGGTCTGCTAGCGGTGGGCAGTCTTCATCCCACCCCACAGCGACCTCAGAGGTCAGACATGAGAAGAATGTGTTGAATCTGGTATAGAGGCTGTGATAATTGCCCGACAGCCCCCTCTCTGGGGGGTAATGATCCCCTTATTGTTGGGGAGAGGAGGTGTGCAGAGGGGTGTGTGGGGTGGGGAGAGGTGTATAACAGGCATAGACTCCTTCCAGGGTCTGAGCCATGAAAGAGTTAACTAACAGCACAGGCCATCACATTTTTGGTTGCTTGAAAGTAGTTGCTTCATGGGAGATGAAGGAAGGGGCAGGGTGCATGTTTGAGGAACCCTTTTCTCCTTCTCTGCCCCAAAGTAAGGCACAGGGATGGAGGTGGAGCAGCCTTCATGAGTTAACCCCTGCCATACCATCCCTCTTTTCACAGTCATCAGTGATGGGTCCAGAGGCTCCAGGTTTAGGAATGTAAGAGGACAATGGGAAGGGAAATAAGGCTTTGGTTGGGGGAGGGGTGGTCATCATTCCCTCTAGAGTCTGGGAGAACATCGGTGGGCTCTGAGCAGCCACCTAGGGGCCCAGCCTTGGCCTGGCTAGGGGTCCTCATCCCAGAGACACAGCTGCCTCTGGGGCACGTAGAAGTCGAAGCTGTAGCTCTTCTGGCAGCTGCGGATGCCACATTTGTAGGGTGCTGGCCGGTCACGACTGTGGCAGTACTTGAGCATGCAGGGGTACCAGGCCAGGCTCAGGCTATAGCGGCAGGCACAAGGCTTTCCACGGTCCTCCACCTGCCCACAGTGTGGCAGTTCCACCTGCTCAGAAGCCTTGGGCAGAGCCTCAAATACAGAGCTGTCCACATCTGCAGGGAGAGAGGCAGAGTCAGGAAAGGAGGGAAGGGCTCCCCTAGCTGGGTATTGGTCATTCCCAGCATGGCCTCTTTAGTCATCCAACAGACATCTATAGATACCCACTCCCAGGCTAGCCAGGGGAGGCACAGGTAAGTGAGAACAGGACACCAGACCCCCATCTAAGCTAGTGGGGAAAACAGATGACTAAAAATCACCCTCATTAATTGAGTCCCTGCTGTGTGCCAGGGACTCTACCTATAGTACCCCTTTTCATCACATGTATGAGCTATGTATTACAGCTTAGAGAGGTTAAATAGTCTGCCTGAGGTCACACAGTAAGTAGGGGTCTGAACTGGAACTCAGATCTGTCTGGTTTCAAGGCCTCCACTCTGCCAGGCCCTGCACTTTGAAAAATCACTATACTGGCATGTGCTGAAACAAAAGCATGACAAAGCTTTAGCTGGGGAGAGAGTAGGAATCCAGGAAGGCTTCTTCAAGGCAATGATACTTGAATAGGGCCAGGCAGGGAAGAGACAGCAGGAATACAGCATGCCAGAGGAGGCAGCCAGGGAGGCCAGGGCTGGAGGTAGACAGGAGAGTATGTATGCGAGGAGGAGGGCGGAGATGGCAGTGGCCTGGCCCTGGCTTCACTCTGTGGCCATGGAAGGGATCATCTGCTGGGACAGTTTTAGGCTTGCATCTTAGTCCCACTGGAAGGGCAGGGCCACAGCTCTGTTTGGACATTTCTGAATCCAGCCCTACCCTGGGAGGGGTAGGCATTTCTCTAGTGTTCAATTGGCTGGGCAGAAGGCCCATGGCCTAGAGTTGGCATGGTGACATCTCCCTGTGCCTTATACATATAGGACCCAAGGACTGTCCTGTGAAAGGCAACAGGAGATTGATTGGACAGCATTGAAGCCACACAAACCAGAATGGCAAGTATCACACAAAGTAGGGAGAGTCCTAGGATCTTAGATTCTGGCCTCAGGGAAGGGGTGACAGGAGGGAGAGCTGACTTCTGAGAGATGGGTGAGTCAGAAGGGATGTCTTTGGGCCCCACCTGGACCCTGGTGTCTCTATGCCCCTTCTCATGACAGAAGGTACCACTGCTGTGTTATCTTCAAGGGAAGGGATGAGTTTGGAGTCATCTGGGATGCTCCCTCCTCATGGCCCAGCTGGGTGGGAGTTCTGAATCCTCTCCTGGAATGAGTCCCTTTTATCTGTCTGACTCCTCCCATTGTTGTTGTTGTTATGTGCTGACGAGTGGGCCCCGACTCATAGCGACCCCTCCTTGGGTTTCCGAGGCAGTATCACTACGGAAGTAGGATTGCCCAACCTTCCTTCCGAGGAGTGGCTGGTGGGTTTGAACCGCCAGGCTTCTGGTTAGCAGTCAAGTGCTTTTAGCCACTATGCTACCAGACTCCTCCCATTAGGTACAGTCATATGTATGTACTTACAGGAATCTTTCCTGACCAATCCCAGGCTGTGTAGTGGTTCCTCCCCTCTATTACCATGTCTTATCATTGCATTGCACTCATTGCCCTCCAGTCATTTCTGACTCATAGTGACCCCTCCTTGGGTTTCCAAGGCAGTATCTCTATGGAGCTCTGGTAGCATAGTGGCTAAAGCACTTGACTGCTAACCAGAAGGCTGGCGGTTCAAACCCACCAGCCACTCCTCGGAAGGAAGGCTGGGCAATTCTACTTCCGTAGTGATACTGCCTCGGGAACCCAAGGAGGGCTCCCTATGAGTCGGGGCCGACTCGAGGGCACACAACAACAACATCTCTATGGAAGTAGATTGCCCAGACTTCTGTCTGAGGAGTGGCTGATACGTTTAAACTGCCAGCCTTACGCTACCAGAGCTCCTACATATCTATCCTCAAAGAAGCTCTGATTCCTGTGTCAATACATCTCTGTAAGGTGCTCACTGTTTCTTCAACATATGACACACTCAGCTGTGCTGTTCCCTCCCTCCTATTTCCTCTGCACAGGATCCCTAGGCTGACCTGGCAGGACCTGGTGGTAGGCAGTACCCAGCACCCAGCTGACCGTGCTCCAGCCAGAACTGGACATCCTCCTGGCGGGTGTAGATGGCGTCCACAGCCTCGGCACACACGTTGCGGAGATGGGGGCTCAGCAGGCCCCCCTGGGTGAAGTTGACAGCAATGTCCATGTGCAGTTGCTCTGGGCTCCGTACCTCTTCAGCCTGCCTCACTGCCCGAGGGTTTTTCTGTGCAAAGGAGAAAAGTCACTTCTACCTGGCCCCAGACTGCTCCCTGTTTATTCTTCCCCTGATCTCTGTCAGGGAACCCAGGAAGCCTCCCTTTAGGACCCTGAGGCCATCAACGTGGTGTCAGTCAAGGGACATCTAGGCCCCTCCCCATCTCAGCTGACATAGAAACTAGTGCCCAGAGTGTGATCAGACTTTTCAGCTTCTACCCAGGATGGATTGTTCTCAAACTACTTGATGGTCACTGGGCTGACCTCTGGCTTGGTGGAGAATTCTGTGATGTTGCTGGAGTTGGAGGTGGGCAGGCTGGGCATGCTGTCCCAAGGTACTGCCTAAATGGCTTCTAGGAACATCTAGGTGACTGAGTCTCTCTGGCAGAGGGAAAGGGAGGTGAAGGGTGCCTGCTAGATAATTTCATTAAGGGCAGGGATGACTGTAACGTCATCCCCATCCTTAATAAGGCAGACTCTGCTATACAGTTTAGGGAACTTGATGCTAAAGAGAGGCCCAGGGTCCAGGAATGGACTGGGAGCAGGCTGCTAGTTTGGGACAGATCAGCATGTTTAAGGATTTTGAATACTATGCTGAGTGTTATGCACTTAGTTCTTCCCATAACCTATTTTCTCAACAAGACTGAGGCTGTGATAGGCAAGGCAACTTGTTCAATGTCACCCAGGTAATGAGTGGATCTGATTTCAGAGCCCACCCTCCATCATAAATGGAGAAGGACTGAGACTCGGGGAGGGGTGGGAGGGTTGAGAATCTGCAAGTAGGGAGTTCAGTGCAGGTTAGAGATCTGGGGCTAAGGGCTAAAGTTTGGGCTGAGGCCAAATCAGGGGGCTCAGGACTTTAGGGTGAGAGTGTGTGTCAGAGATGAGGGCTAAGGTGGGCCAGGGGCAACAGGTCTGGAACAGGGTGAGGATGAGGAGCTTAGTGAGAAACTGAGGTTGGAGTGGGGCCTTGGCTTGGGGTCAGGCTGGCTGCAGGGCTGGACTAGGGTTAAGGCATGGTGTCTAATGGGCAGGAGCTGGGCCACAGTGGAACACTCACCTGCCGAAGCTTGGCCATGGCTTCACTGGGGATGATCTCATTGTGGTGCAGCCGGGTGACAAAGCAGAGGGCCTGGAACTGGCTCTGCCCTTTCTCCAGCTCCCCCAGGATCAGGGCCCGGAAGATCTTCACATCCTGATGGGGAAAGGGTAGAGAATGGGGGACCATCTGGAGAGGGCAGGGCCTCCTTACCTGCCCACCCAGTGTTTAGTTTACAACTGTGCCTGGGCCCTCCCAACAACAGATATCACCCTCCTGCTGGTCCAGGCATTTTTCTCTTTTTCCATTTAAACTGGTAACTTAACATCCCAGATGTTCCAAAGCCTCCTGGAAAATCACATAAGGAAGCACTAGAAAGCTTTTCCAAACAGAACCACTTGAAAGTGGTGAAGCAGAGCTTAACATTAGGAAAACAATGCCCTCCCCCCTTTTTTTTGCATCTGGTTCTTTCATAGCTGGAGCTCCCTGTCAGCCTGATCAGCTGGGTCAGGGCCCCTTAAGAGCAGGTCCCATAATCAGGTGACCCAGCATCATGGGGGGGAGCACTTGAACTCTGTACAAGTAGATGCCAGAGTTTCTCTCCTCAAAATTTCTATTCAGTAGGTTTGGGGGGAAGCCTGGAAATTGGTGTTCCTCAAATTGCCACAGTGACTCTGATCAGCCAAGCTCCTCACCAACCCTGCTCCCTGATCAGGGAGAAGGTGCAGGATGGGGTTAAGGGCTGAAGCTGGCAGGCTGGCTGCAGCTGCTGCTACCTCCTGCCTGAGGGAGCTGAGGTGGCTCACTTTTCCCCTTCCCTCTCCATTTCCAGTTTCCCCATGGGGTTACTAATAGTATTACCAGCAAGCCAAGGGCTCCTTCCTGTTACTGACTCATCACCTGAATGGGAAGGCAGGAAGGCTGGAGGGGAACAGAGAGGGGAGAGAGATGGGACATAGAGTGGGATGGGGCTCCCTTCCCAATATGGTGTCTGGAACCCTGTGCACCAGCCCACCTGTACTGCCCACCACACCCCCACCAAACTAGATGGCACCCGCTATTCTCACCTATCTCTTAATTTTGCCTAATTTTCCCAGTCAGAAATGGTCCAAATGTGTCCAGACCCTGCTTGCCCCAGAGACACCTGCCTAAATGACTGCTTTGCCCTGGGAATCTTCATGGCCCAGCACTGGTACCTGGAATATCCAGCTTTGTGTCAAGATTAGATAGGTCCCTGGGTGATCAAGTGGTTTGACTCTTAACCTAAAGGTTGGTGGTTTGAACCCACTCAGCGGCTCAAAGGCCTGGTGATCTCCTTCCGTAAAGATCACAGCCAAGAAAACCCCAAGGAGTAGTTCTACTCTGTAACAGATTGGGTCACCATGGGTCAGAATCAACTTGACAGCAGCAGGTTTTTTTTGGTGTAGGGCTTCATCGTTCAATACATGTGTCCTGGCCTCCCCAATAAGCAGAGGCCCTATTCACTGAGTGCTTGCTGTCCGCCTGCCAGAGTGGAAGGGCTTTGAGCATGGGGTCTGAGTCTTCCTCCCTGTACGTGCAGAGAGGGGCTCTTGATTCCTCCTCAACCCCCCTGTGCATTAGCTGGTGGCCCAGGCACAATGCCCCATCTCTTTGAGGCTCATTTGTAAAGTGAGGATGACAACAGCCTTTCCCCAGTAGGGATGTGTGAGGACTGAAAGGGTTTGTGTAGATGGCCAGCACAGAGTAAGTGTTCAGCAAGTGTTAGCTGGGAGTATTATTACTGTAGGTGATCAGCAAACATTGCAGATAATCTGAAAAACAGGTACCTGTCATCTAATAAATCCCCATGTATTTCTACAGTCCTTTAAGGTGGTGTAGTGTACCTAAGGCATTTGAATGCTAACCAGAAGGCTGGTGGTTCAAACCCACCAGCCACTCCTCAGAAGGAAAGTTGGGTAATCTACTTCCATAGTAATATGGCCTCGGAAACCCAAGAAGGAGTCGCTATTAGTCAGATTCGACTTGATGGCAGTGAGTTTGGTTTTTGGTTTAACTCCATAAGGAACAATGGGGTGGGGGAATGTATGGGGAGATTTTCCACCAATATTACACCAAGGGGAGACTCACATCCAGCTGGTGAAAAAGGTTCCATGAAGTTCCTATGATCCCAGAGACTTGTGAGGAAGGTGAGTCAGAGATTGGTTAACTCTAGTTTCCTCTCAACAGGAAATCCATTCTTGGGTAATGATGCTGGAATCTCCTTGCCTCGCCAGACAGGGCCATCTGATCTCTCATTCACTCAGCTGGCTGAGGAGAGACTGGAGGCTGGTATACTTGTGGCATATTCTATTCTGGGTTCAATTTCTGCCAGGTGAGACTTGATACCAGACTTCCTCTCTTATAGCTTAAGGCAGGCAGGATCCAGTGTCTACTTCCTGGGTATTTTCAGCTCTGACCCTTGACCAAGAATCCTAGCTGGACAGCATCTTCTCTGTAAGTCAGGCTGCATGATCTCCCCTGTGGTCTATGGGCTGCTGACCACTTACACTGCTTGGTATGAAGGCATTTGAACTTTTAGATCAGACAGAGGGTGAAAAAAATTGAGGATTTTTTGTTTTGTTTTGTTTTCCCTTCTTCTATACTAATAACAATATTGAAGACAACAACAAAATGCAAATAGGGCTTCTGGTAGCGTAGTGCCTAAAGCACTTGACCGCTAGCTAACCAGAAGGTTGGTGGTCCAAACCCTCCAGCCACTCCTCGGAAGGAAGGTTGGGCAATCTACTTCTGTAGTGATACTGCCTCAGAAACCCAAGGAGGGGTCACTAAGAGTTGGGTGCGGGTCCCACTCGATGGCACATAACAGCAACAACAACCAAAATAGGAATGTTTTGACTGGGGGTGAAGAGAGGGAATGAGAATTTCTTGTTAAGAGAGATGATCCTCTCCATACAATCTGTTTGTGTGTACGTTTATGTATGTGTGTGTGTGTGTGTGTGTGTAGGGCAAATATTATAATAGTTGATAACTGGAAAAGATGAATCATTGTTACAGTGAGTCACAAAGGATGTTATCCTATTTGAAATCCTTATAACAACTCCAGGAGGTAGAAGCTATTATTAGTAACCGAGTTTGGATATGGAGAACTTTCATTAGGTCCTAGGATTAAGAGGCAATATAGCCAAGATTTTAACCCAAGCCAGCCTAACTCTAAAGCCCCAGTTCTCTTAACCACAATGTCACATGCCAACCAGTGGCATCACTAGGATTAGTGTCACCCAGTGTGGTGTCTCATGGTATCACTGCCCCCCCAAGGACCTCCTCCCACACCAGACCATGAAGAAATCTTAGTAACATTTATTATCAATTTTAATCATAGAATAATATGTGGTACCCAAAACAAAAACAAACCTACTGCCATCAAGTCAATTCTGACTCATAGTGACCCCCATTGGGTTTCTGAGGTGGTAAATCTTCACGGAAGTAGATTGCCCAGTCTTGCTTCCATGGAGTGGCTGGTGGGTTTGAACCACCAACCTTTAGGTTAGCAGTCAAATGCCTTAGGCACTATGCAACCAGCGCTCCTAATACTATATGTGGTACATATAGTTGTAAATTGCTTAAATGTCATATTTCTCAGATTATATGAATACTAACAATGAAATTGTTTTGCAAAATCTTTCTACATTGAATTATAACATTATTAATTACGTTATTGGCAACTGAGAGGAAGCCTTTTTGATTTTTCTCCTTCTTTTCCTTTAATTATAACTTCATTCTCAAAAAAAAATTATTGATGTAGGTTCACAAATACTAATTACCGCAATATTGTAGCTAAAACACCAGAAAATTTGTCAAAATTAACAACTATAAAAACACCTGGCAGCAACAAAAACAAAAGTGTGCTCTTGTAGCATACAGATGAAACTGCATGATTAGAAGCATCATTGTAACAGGGTAATAATGACATCTCTGACCAGAGTGTATCAGAAGGTTCAAAAAGTAAATGAGCATAGAGTTTTAGCCTTGTAGGTATATTGATACATGTAAGCTGGGCCTACAAAAAATGTACTTCTTGTTAAAACCAACTACAGGAATATTTTTATAAAATAATAATAAATTTCTGCTGAAACACTGAACAAAAATTTTATAGACAGTCATTTTCCTGTCACCTGGTATGGTCTACACCCTCACACCTCCTTACTGACACCACTAATGCCAACCTACATCATTTAGTCCAATGTCCCTGAAACCAGCTAAAGACACCGAAGCTCAGGCCCAGAAAGGGAGTATGATTTGCGTGAGTGGCAGAGCCAGGATGAGAACTTAGTTCCTTCCCTCTTCCAGCCATGCCTGTTTCCAGAGGTTTTCGGGTCCTCCCCAGACCTGTCTGGAGCATGCAGCAGCTCTTCTCAGGGTCTGGGAGACTGACAAACAACAGCATCTCATAAAAGTAAAAGGCTCTATGAAGAGGATAGGACGGGCTGACTCTCAGAGGCAGGGACATCCTTCTAAACTGCCTGCCTGCCCTCCCAGTGTCTCTTAAACCCTGAATTCCCAAGTCTTTGTAGTCCTGTTTCTCTAGAAAACAACATTCCACTTGCTGACCCCTGGGAGGGAAAGGGCAGCCCTAATCTCTGGATCTAAATATCTGGTAACAGTGCTCCATCATCCTGACCAACGTCCTCTTACTCCATACTCCATACTCCTCAGACTCACCACTCAGGTCCTAGGTGCCCCTTCCCTCCAGCACAGAGAGAAAGGCAAGATGGAGAGCTCCCCCCTGCTTCAGGGAACATCAGGCAAGACACTAGACCCAGTCCAGGTAGGAGTCTTCCACCTCTCTGGGAGACTCGGGCAGATTCACTGGGTGTGATCTAACGCCCAAAGCAGATGGCTTAGATGGGGAAGAGCTCAGAGGTTCTGGCCTGGGGACACAGCAAGGGGCTGGCAGCAGGCTCCTCAGGCTTAGGACTCAGTCTAGAACTCCCAAGACAGGAAGGTTTTTATCAGGTTCCTTCTCCCATGATCTCTCAGGAGCTGCTAGCCCACCAGAAGCAAGCCGCCAGGAAGAACTGGAAAGCACAGACCCAGGGTCAAATCTGGGCCATGCAGAGAGTGTAGCAAATGTGCCATGGAGATAGTGTTTGTTGAAGTCTTCTGTCTATAATTTT